ATTTTCATACTGTAATGCTTCAGCAAACTTTGCTGGCTGTTGTTGAACTTTGTTATCTTATATCCCATTCTGGTATCTGCCATTTTCAATTTCTATAAAATTTTCAGCTTATTTAGTGTAGAAAACTTGTAAAAAATGCTTTGCATGCTCCTGAATTCTACATAATGAATATAATGGTGTGTTTACACATATAGCGTTTGATTTCAAGTATAAACCCTGCATGCCTAATGGTGAAAATAGCACGGGCTAGCCAGTTTTTCGGACTGATAATTAAAAAATGGCCAGCGTTTGCAAAGTCATTGGAAAATAGCCACTATTTTGCTGCAACACGGAAAGTTCCAACATAATATACTGGAGATTGGAGCACATGCGTATGAACTTCCAACATATTATGTTGGATCTCCGGTATATTATGCTGGAAGTTCACATGTAAAAAATTCAAACTCAAGTATATTATGCTGGAATATATTTCGGATTTTGAACAGTATTTTCGTTCAGATTTATCTTTACATGAAAAGCGGCTATTTTTAAATGGAAATTTTGGTGGATAGAGTTATCCGGATTTATATCGGTAAAAGATAGCAAGTATCTGGTGGAATAGTCAAGGTGCGAGTAAACTCAGAATAATGCCTTTACAGAAAATAAATGAAATAATATCTTCATAATAATTCTGCTTAATTTGATTTTTTTGTGACGTTTAGGTGTGGGGGTTTGTTCTTGAAAATGTTGNAAAATCCTACCTAGAGCAACAATACAAAGTTCAAATCAAGAATAGTAGATGACCTAGTAAAGGGCAACCCGGTGCACTAAGCTTTTGTTATGCACGGGGTTCGGAGAAGATTCGGACCACAAGGATCTATCGTACACAGTCTTACCCTTCATTTCTGTAAGAGATTATTTCCACAGCTCGAACTTGTAACTTACTGGTCACATGGCAGCAACTTTACCAGTTACGCCAAGACTCTCCTTCAATAGATGACCTAGTATACATATTAAATACCCTTGATCACCCTAAAAATTCTAATAGTGACTTTTTTATCGATAAGTCATTTTAACCAAAAATTAGTATGGTGGAATAGTAACTCGTCATGCTTAATTAGAGATTTCAGGTACGAACTGTGATAATAATCATCATTGCTAGAGAGCATTAAAACCCCTCTAGTAGGCTTTCTATTATATAACGAGCCTTTTACGACGTGAATCTAGAATAATCGAAGCCAATATGTTCTGGTATTTTTACGACATGAATTTGAGTTAATCGAGTCAATATGTATCGACTTTTTAATGTACGAACTGAATTAATCGAATTAATTATATTCCGAATACCGAATGGTTAAACAAAAAAAATAACCTCACACCCCCATGAAATATGTGGATAAAGGGTGGGGTAGAAGAAATATGAAATTTGGTCAGCAGTCCATGGCTGACTGGACCACCACCAAATTATAGGCAAATAGACAGTACATAATGGACAACTTGTGATTGTGTATTTTCCATGTTTTTTCTTTCCTTTTTATGCTATTTTTTGGTCAATTTTGTAATATTAAAGTTTAAAAATTCCTCAAATGAGTGGCCATATATATATTCTTATCCTTATTCCGTGGCTCCATTTATACCTTAGCTCTTTTTTTCTTTATTCTTTTTTTTATTCTTTTTTATTTTTCAATTATTTTATTCATAGTCAAATAAAAAAGTGCATAAAAGTACTGATATGATTTTTATATGTTTAAATCATGAAAGGATATATTCAAATTTAGTCAAGAAAATTTTGATTTTACATTAGAGAAGTGAAACATGACAATCATTTTAGGATGAAGTGCCTAATTATAATTATATATTTTTATTTGCTACCAAAAAGATGAAACAAATAAAGGAAGAAAATATAGGTGCCTACTTATTCCATTTTATAAAAATTAGAAGTGATGAGATTTAGTTTATGAGGATCAAAATTAGTAATTTTAACATTTATGTGGAGAACAATTCATCTATTATTGAGAATATAATAAGAAGTTATGAAAAGAATCTTGAATCTCAGTGACCATGTATCTCCATTTAAATTCATTTCGAGCCAATATTACGACAAAGAGCAGCCTGGTACACAAAACATTTCTCGTTCATGCACAATTCGTGAAAGGGTCACACCCCAAGGGATGTGATGTAAACATCCTACTCGAATGCAAGCGTTAGTGGTTGCTTCTACGGCTCAAAGCCTTGATATATATGTCCAACTTTACCGTTGCTCAAGGTTCCATTTCTCTCAAGCCGACATTACACCAAATAAAAACTTTCTAAGCAGTGATTATATTTTAAATATTGTTTTTAATAAACAAATCAATATTTTTAACTCTCAAATACTACAACATACTAAAATATTTTTTAGGAAAAAAAGAAAATGGATGAATGTTATAAGGCATTAATATAGTTCATTCTAAGAACTTAAAATCATAATGGATGATGTCAAATTAAAGAATATTATAGGACCATAAGGTGGGGTTGCCAAAATCAAATCAATTGACAATTGACAGGGAAATTGATGAATGCTTGACATATATTGCTCCATTTGGCACTTCCTTTGCTATGAAACTAAGAAACTATTTTGCTAAATTTCAACATCAGAATAAAGAGTACAACTTTTTTTTTTCTTTCTTTTTCCCTTTTATGGAGAGATCTGAAGTTTAGTCTCAAGAAAAATTGCTTGACAATAATAGTAAAAAGTTGGTTCCTTGGATATTAGAGATTTATTAAGATTTGTTAATGATCAATAAAATAACATAAAAATAAACCCATTGGAGAACAAGTGGGGGTTTGGGGAGAATAGTGTTTACAACACCTTACCCCTACCTTATAAGGATAGAGAGGCGGTTTCCGGTAGACCCTCAGCTCAGGAACAGAAAAGGAACCAATAAACAAACAATAGCAACAACAATATAATATGACAACTAGGGGTGTTCAAACCGAGCCGGAAAACCGCACTAAATCGAAAAACCAAACCAAACCGATTAAAAACCTGACTAGGTTTGGTTTGACTTGGTTTGGTATTGAGTAAAAAAACTCGAACCAAACCGACATATAAATATATAAATTTTATTTATATTTTTAAGACTTTATAGTGATTTTTCTTTAGAAGATGTAGAAATGTTTGGGATCCTTTCATGTATTAACCTTGAAAGCATAAATTAACGAAAAATTATTATTAGACGACTAAGAAAATAATTATCATGTGTTACTAAAAAAATTCTCCTATTAGAATATTTTAATAGATCATATGTTTGTCAATTTTTTTCATATTTACTAAACATATATTCACTTATCAAAGCTTTATTTATAATTTTAATAAGGCAAAATGGCTTTCTGACCACTTAAACTTGTCGGGTTTTTTAAAGTTGATACATAAACTTATAACTTTTCCATTTGAACACTCGAACTCATGATTCCCTTAACTAATAAACACATTTGACCATTGACCATACCCATGTGGCGTCAGTTGGTCCTAATCAGCAGCCGTGTGAGTAACACGACGCACAGGAGCGTGAAAACCCCCTTCCCAACGCCCAACAGTACAAAATACCCCTTTCCTCCATTTTTAGAATTAAGAGACAAAATTTCAGCTTCTTTCTCCCTAATATTATCCTCTTTTGCCTAATAATCTTCTAACTTAAGCTTCATCTCATTGCAAAGATCATTTCGCCTTGTTCAATTTTGGGTCGGAGATGGCATTCGCCTTATTCATTTCGCTGCAACTCTCCGGCGGCTTCAGTTGGTCGGAGATGGCATTCCAGTGGTCCAAAACGCCCAAGAGCAATGCCAATCGATTCCTGCTGCTGAGGAGGTCACGCCAATCGGCCATTACAACAAATTAATTGTCACAACTTTAAAGAAAACAAATTATGCGACAGTGCTGATCGAAAAATTTCTCCGACAATCTACCTAGCTAGAAAAAAATAGAGAAAGGAGAAGACGAAGAAGAACCTAGGAAGGGAGTGCTGATATGGAAGTAGAAGAGAGTTGCAGGTGTGGGGGTGGGGGGAGGGGGCGAGATGGGAAAGAACGGGGAAGGGGAAGAGGACGTTGGAAGGGTTTAAGTGTTTTCTTTTTTATTGTATTTATTTTTAAAATATAAATATAAATATAGGTGACAATTTTTATTTAAAAATTACACATGTCATTAGTTGGGTGGGGTCTTAGTTTTGGATTGGTCAATTGCTGACTGGATGGACACGTCTGTGTATGTGTAATACACGCGCATAGGCTCAAGAGTCAGATGTGTTTATTAGTTAAGGGAAGTATGAGTTCGAGTGTTCAAATGGGAAAGTTATAAGTTTATGTATCGGCTTTAAAAAATCCGACAAGTTTAAGTGGCCAGGAAGCCATTTCGCCTTTTAATAAAGTAAGATTGAAATAATATTCATGTAACAAAAAAACCTGAAAACTCGAAAAACCCGACAAAACCGAACCAATCCAAACCGATATAATTAATTTGGTTTGGTTTTGATAAAAACCGAACCAACCCGATCCATGTACACCCCTAATGACAACGAAAGCAAATAGCTATGTAATAACAAAGATCTAGAAATAGGAAAATTCAACTTACCGAGGACATGACTCTCTCGATAGGAAGAAATAGAGGTCAAGTATTAAGGTTGTGGGTTGACCGGGAGTCAGAGAGTTTTTCTTAGTCTCGCCAACAATATTTGTATTAGCCTCAGTTTATCATTCCTAGCTCCTTGTTGGTTGTAAATTTAGCCTACATTGAATTTAAATTATATACACCGTCACATAAGGAATTTTTACACAATCAAATCACCTCTATTTATTGTAACAAGTAATCTATCTTATTTTCAAAATTATAAATTCCACATTTTAAGGGAGCTTAGTATATAATATAAAAAATTCTTTATACTGACGGTGTATATAATTTAAACTCTTACAATGTTTACTAATACTCATTATATAAGTTTGGCACATCTAATTAGAGAATAGGCATAAATAAAGCACAGATAGAAGAGAAGAATCTGTATACCAGTGCATTATACAAAAACTGACAGCTCAAAAAAAGGTTCTTCTCCCCTTTGAATAATTTACATTTATCTAATGGAACTTTGTTTTCCCACAGCACAAAGATGAAATTTACTTCTTTGTTTCCCCCCATAATAATCTTTCAAAAGCAACAATAGAAATTGAATTACAACAGGGTAGAAGAGATGTTGACAACAATATCATCCCAAATTATGATGAACAACACCAGCCTTTCTTCGCTTGTCCATTCGCTTCTTGATTTTCATCTGCCTGCAAAACCACAGTTTTTCCATTTGCTAATCGACCAGAATCCTTCTTTTGGAGTTCTTGCGATTGAATGACCTTCCGGCTCAAAATATTATAGATTTCTTTAACAACTGTTTGAAAAGCTACAGCTACATTCGAGGAATCCAAAGCAGATGTTTCTATAAAGAATAAACCTTGTGCCTCCGCTAAGGATTTGCCTTCAGCTGTTGTGACCTCCCGTGCGTCTTTGAGATCGGATTTATTGCCAACGAGTATTGTAACCACGTTCATGTCAGAATGAGCTGTCCATAAAAGTAAAGGTCTTTGCTAGTCAATCGAGGAAGGAGCTAAGCACTAGAAGATGCACAGAATAGGAAATGCACAACATATTAACACGGAAATTAGGATCAATATTCTATTAAGGCTAATGAAGCTGCCTCTTTTGAAGGGACAGGTACATCAAGAAGACGAGTAAACACTAATACAAACTTAACCATTTTAAGATGAATCGTTCATGAGCACAACACAACATGAACCAGATAGTTGATGACAAGTTAGTCACAGCAATAGATATTCCATTTACTGAGCTGTAATGCAACATTAGTTACTTGTAGTCTTTATCAAATCTTAACAGCAGAGTGCGCAAGTCAAATTATAAATAAACTAAGAGGAGAAAATAAAGTTGACATATAACTTACTCTGAAGTTCATTAAGCCATCGACTGATATTATCAAAAGTTTGGCGTCTACTAATATCATAAACCAGAAGAGCTCCAACTGCGCCTCTGTAATATGCAGAAGTTACTGCCCTAAAGCGTTCTTGACCTGCTGTATCCCATATCTGTGCTTTGACCTCCTTGCCATTTATGTCCAGCTTTTGGGTCTGGAACTCTACTCCTATTGTCGATTTTGAGTTTGGATAAAATTCATCTCGAGCAAATCTAGCAAGCAAATTTGACTTCCCAACAGCCGAATCACCAATCAAAACAATCTTGAAAAGGTAATCCTCTGTTTGTGCTTCCTCGGAACGAAACGCCATCTTCTTTGAGTAAAATGGCAGCTAGAACACCATAGTTGCTTATAAACACCAAAAGTAATAAATTTAAAAGCACAAATAGGCAGAAGGCCGTCAGGAAAACTTGTAAGGGAATGCAGGAATATGTAAGATGAGGCTTCAGCTTAGGAACTGGTTAAAGAGAAGAAAGGAATCTCAATATAGTAGTTGTATATGAAGGCGAAGAATGACAAGGTAATTTAAAATAGGAACTTTCTATTAACCCTGTACTACAACTTCTTCCAGCCACTTCACTGCTGGGTAACTCTTTCCTATTATATTCAGTCCTCCTAAAAGGGACAGCTTTTAGATACCTGCATAAAAAGAAAAAGACAAAAACTTAAAACTTCAGCAAGGAATCCAGTCTAAACTTTGCTTTCCCATAAAACAATGTGGCATTCTTCCACAAGATTCTTCAATAGGATACAGTCTAATTATAATAGGTAAGGAAAGGAAATTATACACGACCAATTAGCTGTTGCTCGTCTAATGCCCCATCCTTGCCACCTCCCACTTCCCCTGCTTCTTGTTGCAGACTCTTTAAGCGCAAACCTAGAAGAAAAATGAAAGGAAGTACTGCTATAAGACTTGAGGCAAAATTGTGCTGGTAAAACATTCACTTGTGGTTGGTGACATGATATAAGAAAGCCAAAATTGATATCTCCAAAGAATTCAACTAATTCTATTTAAGTGACCAAGTCACACCAATGTTACACCACAAAATATTACTCCCTAGTAATGCAAAAGGCAACTAATCCTTACACTGTCTGAATTGGTTTTTTCTTCTTTTATCTTTTTCCACTTCTTCGAGACAAGGGGGTGAGCGAGAAGGGAAAATGGTGGGATTTGAGAGGTATATATATATATATATAGAGAGAGAGAGAGAGGAGCCAATAATTCCGGGGAAATTAGTCATGTGTGGACTGCAAACAATGACCATAAAACTAGTGAGAAAGAAAGTCACAGAAAGAAAAGTGCCAACAGAAAAAGATTAATATTTTCTTTTCACTCTAGTTCTCAAGCTGTAGGGAAGACTAGGGGGTTCCCTCTCAAAAACTGAAAAGAATACTCCAAACGGGAAGCTAAGTGTGTGGTATTCAATAGAAAGGGATAAAACTGCTAACTATTGATAAATTTATCACGCAGGAAGGATTTTTTTTAACAAAATACATGTATCCGATGACACCACAGAAACATATGGAATGCCCAAAAGTTCAAGTGAACAAAATACTCAATTTTCACTGCTATACAGTCTAACCATCTTCCTATGAAAAATCAAGAATATTTTCCCTTAAAATTAATATGTTGCCAAAATTTGACCTGTCACCATGAGTGATGATTAAATACTAAATCGCAGTATGGCATAGTGTTATTTCTCTTGTGACAAGTATTGTACAGTGACATTGTAGTTTGTCTTCTTTTTCTCACGCCGGAAATGACCTGGAGTTTAAGTTCCAATGTAGCAAGCTTGCTATCATTGGAAAAAGTTGACCATCTTTGGTCATGCATAAAACTGCCAGAGCTAACATAAAAAAGAGAAAACCAACCACTTGTGGCCCACTTCTCATCGTCCCCATTTAGGCAAAAGCCTAAAAGACAATTAGGAGTTTTATCTCCCAGAAGAAAGTGACTTAGTACCAAAACCTGGTCTCTAAATGTAGATTGCCCTTATTTAGATTCTATGTTAGATAAAGCTTAATAAAGGCAAATAAAACCTTCAGAAGGTAGAGTACTAGTTCACAATACGGCTAGCAAATAGTACTAAAAATCTAATTCATGGTAACTGCATATACCTCATCCACAAAATACACCCTCATAGGACCCCAGCATCCATTAATAGGAAACAACCACCATCCACATGCAAATTAGTATGACTAGGAAAGGAAATTGACCTAGGGGAAATGAGGCTCTCTACAATGTTATGCATCCCTATTTACTACACTCAATAAAGGTAATAGATTTGAGGGACACTCTGGTGACCTGATAGTCAAAAGGCAAAATCAATTTATGAGAAGAGAAAATTTCAAACACAGTTCAATTAGAAACACTAAAATCAGTCAAGTTAAATGGTTGTATCAAAGTCAACTACATGAGATGGTCACAAGTCAGCCTCCGCACAACTCTGACTAATTCACCAGGTACCTGCTATCTTCGTACCAATTCAGGTACCGGATAACTCTGTCTACCAAAGCTTCGACGGATAGGAAGAAATCACCTAGCGTTTTTTATCTCTACCGGAATTTGAACCTAGATCTCCTATGGTCTATTCTAACTTCATTGACCGCTAGACAATACCATGAGGTGCTAGTCAAAAAGATCAAATATTAACATGTAAAATGACTTCCTAAATGGGACCCCACAAAGTAAATAACTTCAATAATAGGTGCACTTGCATAGACATTCCCACCAAAATTAATGAGGTCAGCTAAACAAAGACTTTTAGCAAGAAGACTTTGAAAAAGTCACCATAATGTGTTAGTAAACGTATCCTAACTCATCAATGGCCATTGTAAAGACTCAACATTTTACATGACACCACAAGAAATAACAAAAGTAAACAGTATTTCTGACACACCAAAAACAGTATTTTAGTACTAACATTATTTAAGTGAAACAAATATATGCACCATCACATTATTGTTTACTAGCATTTTATCCATTAAAGATAGAAAAGACACATGCTACAACTTTTTTTTAATAACTGTGGTGTTCGGCCAGCTTGCCTGCAACTCGATTAAAAATGCAATTAACAACCCCATTCTCAAGAATGCTCCTAAATCAACCCCTTATTTTCATTTCTATGCAACACAAATCTAACAAAATAAAAAAGTTTCAATCTTTTCATCAGGAAAATACTAGAGATTTTATAACGAGCTTATAAATGTCAAAACTTTAAAGTAAACCAGCATCAGGAAACTACCAAAAAATGTAACATTGATAAAAAAGAAACAATTTTGAGACATACCCACTTCTTTATATGATGAAAGGATCTTTCCCTTTTAACAATCTCTCAAGATGTGATCAGATCAGAACCGTTAGATCAATGGAACAAAACGGGTATAAAAGAGTAAATTTGGATGAAATGTGTTGAACAAACACAGGGATCAAAAGATTATATGAAAATGTTTATGAGTTTTGGAGAGATTGAGGGCGGGTTTCAAGATCCAGAAAAGCTAGAAGTGGGGAAGAGAGAAGAAGAAGAAGAAGCAGAGAGAGAAGGGAGCAAAGGGGGGAGAAAGCCAGATTTTACAACTATTGCAATTGGAGTAGATGGGTCACATTAAATGGGCTTTAAAATCTGGTTCTTCTTCTAATGGATCCGAGTTCTTTTTGGCCCAATTCAATATAGAGCAAAATAACGTTAAAATAGCACGGGCTAGCCAGTTTTCGGACTGGTCATTCAAAAATAGCCAGTATTTGCAAAGTCATTGAAAAATAGTTACTATTTTGCTGCAACAGGTACCGGTCCAGCATAATATACTGGAGATCGGTGCACCTGTGTATGAACTTCCAGCATATTATACTGGACCGGTATATTATACTGAAACTCCAGCATATTATGCTGTAATATTTTCCGGATTTTGAACAGTGTTTTCGTTCAGATTTATCTTTACATGAAAAGTGGCTAAATTTTAATTACTTTTAAAATTGTAGCTATTTTTGAATGACCACTTATAAATTTATCTATTTTTGAATTTCTCCCCAAAATATGTTAGATGGAACGGATCTTTACCCAAATAGTCGTTCATATTCATTATTTACTTTTTCTAGTCATATACATAATTTATACATTGATTATACATAATTATTTATTTATATATATATATATATATATATATATATATATATATAATACATAAATTATGTATATATTATATCTTCACCGGCTATTTTTAATTTAAGCGATTGGATGAGCGGCCATTTGGGTTAATTCTTTTTCTTTAAAATCACTTATACTTTGATGAAATTTTTTTAAACAATAGCCTCGCTAGATTTCTAAGGCAATCTGGGCAGGATTTCGTAGGCTGTCAGAATTTTTGGGTAGAATTTTAAAGCGCGCAACAATTATGATGAGCGTCAAGATTTCGTCACACATATATATGTTGCTTTATCTATTCCCTCCATGGGTCGTCAGTTGTTTAGGCGACCTATAAGATGCAAGTTGTTTACGGTTTAAATTTTTCTGCAGTTTCTCTACAAACGTATAAACTCCCAACCCGCAGAAATGATAATCGGTAAAGTTGATGTCGTGTGATCAGGAGGTTACGGGTTCGAACCGTGAAAATAGTCTTTTACAAAAATACAAATAAATTTGTGTACGATAAACTCTTATAGTCCGACCTTTTTCAGACCCCGCACATAATCAGAGCTACGCATACCGGACTGTTTTTTTTTTGTTTTGTTTCTTTTTTAGTTTTGTAAATGGCAGTACTGCAACTCTGTTGCCATTGCTTTGAAGTTTGAATAAATTTGGCACTCAGAAAGAAGCAGCAGTAAAACACACTTCCCCATTTAATTTTCTGTGTAACCTTTCTTTCTCTCAATTCTTATCCAATATCTTTGGATATAGTATATTTGTTACGGGTTCAATCAATTTCAGCAGTTTCATATAGAGTATATAATTCTATATATATAGAACCTACTAAAAAATTTTACAAATATTAAATTTCGAACTTATTATTCCAAAAGTTCAATAGGATCAATTTTAAAAGTCCAAGTACTTATATTTTAATCTTGAATTTGACTTTGTATATCGCACACATTACTACTTGTATAGGTCAAAATCTGATTATAATAGCCGACCTAGTTGGAATCTCGCCTAAGGGGCGGGGTAGGGAGGACCACCACGTCCTATACAAGTAGGTCGTTTTTCGTTTTTCTCTCTCTATTCTCTCCTTCTATTTTCTTCCAAAAATGATGTACAATTGACCGCCTCCTAGATCTTATTAAGAAAGAAATGAAAAGATGAATGTAGATCGTTTGCTCTTATTTTACTATATTCATTAATTTCCGAATTCGTTTTTAAATTTGGATTTTATTATGTTTAACTAAGATTGACCTCATCTTTATCTCTATTTGTTTCAATCATAAAGGTTTTGACATCTTTTGGTCAAACAATTTGGCGCCGTCTGTGGGAATTTCTTAGTGAAATTTCCTAGTCTCATCCAGATAAAAAACTAGAAACATAATCACCCACCAAAAAGAGCGGTAAGTAAACCTCACGTGCCAATCCAGATCATGATATTGTATGCAAGCAGAAGTGACAACCAACATCCTCCCCCATACACCGGGCGGTCCATGAACCAGCTAAGGCAAGCCCAACACACGCGGAGCAAGAGCACAAAAAAGAAGGGGAAAAAGAGCTGAATGCGGCCACTGAATTTAGAAATCACTACCCCATCAACCATTGAAATGCCAGACAAAGCGAGCAACGGTATAGATCCACCCTCATTCACCGACTCATTGGATCGGGTAAGGAAAATATCATTTTTGGCTCACATTCTGTTGTTTGCTTAAACAGGAACACAAATGTCGTGCAGGCGAGCGAGCAAAGAAACATCTCAACTGGAGAATGGGAAACTACTACAAAGCAACCGAAATATCGCTCATCTGACATTCCAACTTCTAGAAAATGACGCCCCTTAAGCCGCACTCTCTCTCCCTCACCTGGGAATCGTCCCAATAGGGCTTTCCCGGAAGCTGAAGGACTGAATCGATAAGGGGGACGCCCCAACTTCAAAGTGTAATTCATCACCCTACCCGCCAACGGCATCCCCAGACCGGAAAAAAAACAAGACAAGAAACTTCAACATTACACTCTCCAATGTAAACAAAATCAAGCGAACTGGGACTCCCCCAGAGGATACCTGACTCTCCAAAAAACTGGGACTGACGACGGGTTAAACATTTCGACAAGTTCGAAATAACACCCTTTAAGACCAAAGGCCATTGCCAAAAAGAAGAGTTCGACCTCGATCGAATAACGACAGGTTAACATTTCGACAAGTTCGAAATAACACCCTTTAGGGCCAAAGGGCCATCGCCAAAAAAAGAGTTTGACCTCGATCGAACAACGACGAGAAAACATTTCGACAAGTACGAAATAACACCCTTCAAGGCTAAGGGCCATCGCCAAAAAGAAGAGTTTGACTCGATCGAACAACGACGGGTTAGCATTTTGACAAATTCGAAATAACACCCTTTAAGGCCAAGGGCCATTGCCAAAAAGAAGAGTTTGACCTCGATCGAACAATGACGGGTTAGCATTTCGACAAGTTCGAAATAATACCTTTTAAGGCCAAGGGACATCGCCAAAAAGAAGAGTTCGACCTCGATCGAACAATGATCGGTTAGCATTTTGACAAGTTCGAAATAACACCCTTTAAGGCCAAGGGCCATCGCCAAAAAGAAGAGTCCGACCTCGATCGAATAACGACGAGTTAGCATTTCGACAAGTTCAAAATAACACCTTTTAAGGCTAAGGGCCATCACCAAAAAGAAGAGTTCAACCTCGATCGAACAACGACGGATTAACATTTCGACAAGTTCGAAATAACACCTTTTAAGACCAAGGGCCATCGCCAAAAAGAAGAGTTCGACCTCGATCGATCAGCGATGGGCTAACATTTTGACAAGTTCGAAATAACACCTTTTAAGGCTAAGGGCCATCGCCAAAAATAAGAGTCTGACCTCGACCGAACAACGATGGGTTAACATTTTTACAAGTTCGAAATAACACCCTTTAAGGCCAAGGGCCATCGCCAAAATGAAGAGTTCGACCTTGATCGAACAACGACGGATTAACATTTCGACAAGTTCGAAATAACACCCTTTAAGGCCAAGGGCCATCGCCAAAATGAAGAGTTCGACCTTGATCGAACAACGACGGGTTAACATTTCAAGAAGTTCAAAATAATACCCTTTTATGGCCAAGGGTCATAGCCAAAAAGAAGAGTTTGACCTCGATCGTACGACGACGCTTTAACATTTCGACGAAAGTTCAAAATAACACCCTTAAGGCCAACGGCCATCGCCGAAAGATCAACGACTTTATTCAGACTCACACGACGAAGTCTTACTCAGTTTGGCTAAGTTTAAACCCCCTAAGAATCGGGCATCGACCACATGGGAATCCAAAATTTCACGCCAAAATTATGCAAAGGAGAAGGAAGAAAAGTGCAAAAAACATACACCAATGAATTTTTTTATTTAAAGCAGTCGCGCTAATAGTCACAAATTACACACAGCTAAAAGTCGGGCAAGTCCAAAGAAAAAAAAAAGAGAAAAACACAAAGACAACAAACCAAAAAAGAAAAGAACAACAACACAAACAAAGATTAACAATTCTTTCACTCGGCGTCATCACCGTCGCCCTCCTCATCACCGTCTCAGGAAGTATCTTTTCAGCATCAGCATCCTCGTCGGCCCCCGCCGTCGCATGATCATATCCACAATTAACACGAGCCTCTCATGCCTTAGCCCGCGCCCCTTCATATGCGGCCTCAGAAACATTACCTGCTTCCCACAAACTCCAATATATGTCTCGCTGGGCTTTAGCATGCACCCAGAGCTCGTGCAAATGACGGGGAACAGAAAGAGAGGCAGATCTGACTTGGGCCAACAATTACGCCTTCTCGGCCTTTAGAGCAGCGACCCGGTCCCATAAAATTGATGTTTCCCAATCAATGTCGATAATACGCTCTTCGAGTGTCACCGTTGCCTTTTCAGATTCTTGCTCGGATCGAAGGACGCGGATAGTGTCCTCTAAAGCCGACGCCTAAGAAATCTCCATGTTCTCCAACTCGGAAACCTTTCTCTCCAGTTCGGCCAACTTTCCCACCCATTCCGCACTCAGTGCCTCAACCCTTATGGCCTTTTGGTCCAACTCGAACTGCATCAACCGCACCTTCGCCTGGAGATGCTCGCACTCTGCAGCAACCCCTTTACCCAGCTCAAGTTCTTCGTCATTTGCAGGAAGTTGCTTCTCGAGCACGCTACTCCTGTGAATGGACTGCATCAACTCATGGTCCCTCTTTTCTAGTTCCTCACTAAGGGATCGATCACCAACGCTCGCCTTCAACCGCTCGTGCATCTCGCGACACTTGTTGCGGTAGCGCTGATACTTCTCCAACATTGTAAGGAAAATTTTGGCCCGAGTGTCGGCCTTACGAGCACTCTCAATCTCCACCATGTACGTTTGAAAAATGAAAAAGGTCGACTAAGGCTAAGATCACCAAAGATGAAAAGAACATAA